GTAGGAAGTCAATCTTGCAAGCTGAAGCAGGGAACTGCTAAGACAGCTGCACCCGGTGCGACCATCACAAAACAAGAGACCCGAGAACTAGAAAGGTGAGGCTTCACCACCCATTTATCCCTCCGCCTTTCAATTAGCCCCACATGTGATTATTGGCCAGGCTGGCACAGTTAACTCAGAACCTATAGAGATCAATATTCTAGGCATCAATAAACTGAAATGGACTGCTATTGGACATTTTGAATCAGATAATCATTCTGTGCTGGGCATTACAAAGCAAAAATAAGCTATCATATTCATCAGCGGTTCTCAACCTGTGGGTCACAATCCCTTTGGGGGTTGAACGACCCTTTCCTAAGACCACCATGTTTCTGATGGTCTTAGGAACCGAGACACCACTTCTCTATCTGTCTCCAGGCTGGTCCACCCACCTGCAGATACGCCCACATACGGGTACCTGGCGTGAAGAATGTTACCCATGCTATACCATGCTTCAAGACAAAGTATCGTTTATTTGTCATTAGAAATAAATATTTCACAATATATATATTATATATAACTACATATTGTTTTTGTGATTAATCACTATGCTTTAATTATGTTCAATTTGTAACAATGAAAATACATCCTGCATATCAGGTATTTACATTACGATTCATAAGAGTAGCAAAATGGCAGTGATGAAGTAGCAACAAAAATAATTTTATGGTTGGGGGATCACCACAACATGAACTATATGAAAGGGTCGCAGCATTAGGAAGGTTGAGAACCACTGATATTCATCATCAAAAAGAACATTTTAAGCTCTATCTTGAAGTGATGGATAAAATCTATATTCCTAATAGGAAGACCAAATAACATGACAGTTATCCAGATTTACACACAACCACTAATGTCAGAGATGAAGAAAATGAACATCTTATATCCACTTCTGTAGTATGATTTCAGTTAAGAATGCAATCAAGATGCATTAGTAATTATTAGTGATTGCCTGCAAAAGTTGGAAACAGAATGATCTATATTGGAAAATATGGCCATGGCAAGAGAAATTATGCAGGAGGGTATCACATGATAGAATTTTGAAAGACCAACAATTTACTCATTGGAATACTTTTTTTCAATACCGTAAGTGGTGCCTATACACATGGACCTCGCCGGATGAAATACACAAGAATCTGGTCACCCACATCTGTGGAAAACAATAATGGAGAAAAAGCTCAAAGTAATCATCCAGAACAAGGTTAAGGGCTGGCTGGAACAAACCATCAATTGCTCATTTGCAAGTCCAAGTAGAAGCTGCTGTCAAGTGTAGAGTAGCGAAAACAACCGGAAAAAAATAAGAAGTTAAAGAACTGAACAGAAGGTTTCAAAGGGTGGCTCAAAAAGAATAAGTAAAATATTATAATGAAATATGCAAAAGCCTAGAGTTAGAAAACCAGGAGGGAAGAACTCACTGGACATTTCTTGAGCTGAAAGAACTTGTGGTTCTTACATCATCTGGTGTCAATTTGAGAGGACTAAGAGTGAAGGGAGGAGTCTAGTCTGTCAATCGGGTCATAGCCAATGAGGCCTCGGCCTTCTCCTGAGGATTCTGGGAACTCCTGTTTTCCTCCTTGGAGGCGGGAGACTCTTCTCTCTGCTCACTCCCTTCTAGAAACTCTACTGACAAAGCTGACCCCCTGTGAGACATCCCTTAGGAGAAGCCACATGGACCTACCCTGATGCAGCCCTGGGTGCTGGAGAAGCCATGTGGAGACCCCTGCCAGCGCTCAGATGCTTACAACACCACTGGATCCAAAGACTTTCTACCCACTGGCCTGTGATCATCCTGCATTCAGCATCATTGCATGTGTTTTCTGAGTCAGAAGAGGACTTTATAGATTGGTATCGGACGTATGGGCTAATATTGGACTTAGGGACTTGATCTGGACTGGGCTGGGGTGTTTTCTCAATGTTCACTTCCTCTTGTATATAAAACTCTTTCTTACACACTTACGCATCTTTATGAATTTGTTTCTCTAGTATACCCAGACTAACACAGAACTGCAGAAGAAAAATTCAAGCCTCAATGGCAATATTAAAGAATTCTATGGGCAAAATATTGAATGATGCAGGAAGCATCAAAAGAAGATAGAAGAAATACACAGAGTCACTGTACCAGAAAGAATTGATAGACGCTCAACTATTTCAAGAGGTAGCATCTGACCAAGAACCGGTGTTATTGAAGGAAAAAGTCTAAGCTGCGCTCCAGAAATTGACAGAAGACCAATCGAGATGTTTGAAAAATAATAATAAAAAACAGCTGCAACACAGGAAGTACTCACTGCCAAGAAATTCGGAAGACGGCTACCTGACCAACCAACTAGAAGAGATCCATATTTGTGCCCATTCCAAGGAAAGGTGATTAATCAGAATGTGAAAATTATTAAGGAGAGCTAATATCAAAGAGTTCAAGAAGAAAGATGTTTTGAAAATGATGGTGACAGCAATTGTGTACAACAGGCTTGATCTAACGGATTGTTATAATATCTGTAAGAACTCCCAATGAAAAGATTTTTAAAACGTTTTTTAACAAAATCATTACTATTACGTGCAAGTGAAATTTTGCCCAACACTTAAAAAAAATGTACTGCCATTGGCTTGATGGTGACTCCCAGAGACCTGAAGCTGAATTGCCTCTGGGGTTCTATGGGCGTAAAAAGCCTTTCTTTCTCCCGTGGAGCGGTGGTGCTTTCCAACGTCTGACGTGTGGTTCGCAGCCCAACGCGTAACCCACGGTGCCACTGTGGTTCGCTGAGGATACGTTTTAAATGGTTGCAGCAGTAAGTTGATAGGAAACTGTTCTGAAGAACATATGGCATGAGGGTTATCATTGCTGATCTCAGCTGGATCTTGGTTCAGAACAGGGAATTCCAGAAAAACGGTGCCGTCTCTGTTTCTTTTTAATCATTTTATTGGGGGCTTGTGCGACTCTTATCGCAATCCAAACATACATACATCCTTTGTGTCAAGCACATTTGTACATTTGTTGCCCTCATCATTCTCAAAACATTTGCTTTGTACTTGAGCCCTTGGTAACAGTTCCTCATTTTTCCCCTCCCTCCCCGCTCCCTCCTCATGAACCCTTGATAATTTATAAATTATTATTATTTTTGCATCTCTTACAGTGTCCGACATCTCCCTTCTCCCACTTTTCTGTTGTCCATCCCCCAGGGAGGGGGTTATATGTAGATCCTTGTAATCAGTTCCCCTTTTCCACCCCATCCTCCCTTTACCCTCTCGGTTTTGCCATTCTCACCACTGGTCCTGAACGGATGATCCACCCTGGATTCCCTGTGTTTCCAGTTCTATCTGTACCGGTGTACATCCTCTGGTCTAGCCAGACTTGCAAGGTGGAATTGGGATCATGATAGTGGGAGGGGAGGAAGCATTAAAGAACTAGAGGAAAGTTGTATGTTTCATCGTTGCTACACAGCACCCTGACTGGCTCCTCACCTCCCTGCCACCCTTCTGTAAGGGGATGTCCAGTGTGTTTTTCTTTTTTGACATTTGGGTAGATCATAATAAATTATGGATAAGATTGGGAAGAACGGGAATTCTAAAACCGTTGTGCTCCTATGGAACCTATACAAAGACTAAGAGGTAGTCATTTAAAGCTGTGGTTTCAAATGAAGAAAGATAAAAAAGAAGAAAGATGTGTATCAGGCTTGTATCCTTATCACCATATTGATTCAGTCTGGATGCTGGGCAAATAACCCCAGAAGCTGAGCTAGATGGAGAAGGAGAGGAAGAACACCCAAAATACAAAATTGTCCAATTCTTAAAATCATTTTATTGGAGCCCTTACAGCTCTTAGAACATTCCAGACATCAATTGTATCAAGCATATGTATACATATGTTGCCGTCATCATTCCCAAAACATTTTCTACTTGAGCCCTAGGTATAAGCTCCTCTTTCTCCCTCCCCTCCCACCTCTGGGAATTCTTGATCAATTATATATTGCTATTTCATATCTTACATTGTCTGTTGTCTCCCTTCACCCACATTTCTGTTATTCATCCCCTTCGAGGGTGGCAGCGGCTGTATGTCCAGCTTTGTGATGGGTTTCCCAACATTGTCCAAATTTTAAGGGGTAAGGTCACTGAGATTTTTTAGCCTTAGAAAAAAAATAATTTGTACTATGATACGCTGCCTAATTTGCATGCATGTTAATAATCGTTGCTGCAGTGAGAGCGGTGGTTTGTATTTGTAGCTGGTGTAACTGGTCTCCAAGACGTTTATGTGGCTCAGTAGGTACTTTTGATTCATGCTACGCCCTACATGGACACAGTGTAGGTTTCACTCTGCAGGGTACGTATGGTGTTTGCAAAATATAGGGAGTAGACGGCAATATTTAAATATTTGTCTGATAATATGCTTGTTTTTTTCAGCTAAATCCAGATGTGAATGTTTTCCAGCGGAAATTTGTGAATGAAGTTAGAAGATGTGAAGAAATGGATCGAAAGCTTCGTATGTCTATTTCAGTCTTATATGATTACGGTTGTTAAGATTAGGTGTCACTTCGCTGAGCCATGCATCTTCTCAGTGGCTTGACAGATGATCGCGACTCATCCTCCGTTTTGAGATCTGATGAGCAGTCAATTAGTGGGGGGAGGGAGGGGTGGGGATTCCTGGAGGGTGTGGTCTGCATCCAATGGACAGGGACATGCTGGCAAAACTCACTTGCTCTCAGTTCTGCATCTGACTTGTCATCCTTTCGCCTCTGTTCTTGGGATGTGAGCAACCTACCTCCCGTCTGATCTGCCAATTTTGGGTTCATCACAGTGAGCCCCAAGAAGGGAAGTACAACATGTGATCCAAGAGCAGGAACCCTACACTCCAAATTCACTGCTTAATTGTTCTGATATAGTGGTTACTTGTTGGGTTGCGATCCCTATGGTTAGCAAATCAAAGTGCCAGCAGCTCCAGGGGAGAAAGACTGGGTTTCCTACTCCTCTAAACGGTCACAGTCTCAGAGACCCACAGGGGATCGCTGTGAGTCAGCATTGACTTGATGACTGAGGTTTTTGTTTTCAATACTAACAAGAACTTGGGGTGTGTGTGAAAATAGCTATTGAGGGTATGGGATCATGGTACAAGGAACATAAAGTTGAATCAATCTGAGTTTATTAGTATGAGCTCACTAAGCATATTATTCATCCAGTATTTCACTTTGATATATTAGAAAGAGATCTAATCATTTATTTGGTTGGTTCATTGAAGCATGATTTAAGCAATGGCCTATTCTAAATCAAGTTGAAATGCCAAGTCTGCCTTGGCAATACACCTCCACTGTCCTACCTTAAGAATATGTCAACTCTCTAGCCCTGTCATAATTTAGTTGGCAGGGCCCTTGATCACTCTTCCCTTCCATAAGACACTGTACTGGTTTTTGACATGGATGGCATTCTGTGGATTAGATCTAGGAAGTAAGAAATAACAATGACTTGACTCCTTGGTAAGGCATTTGTATGCTAGAAGGTGAGACGTTTGTCCAACAAAAGTTCAAATGCCATCCATCACAATGACATTTCTAGGTGTCCAGTGGGGCGCGGCATGTCAAGATACTCCTACAGAGAGGCCAGCTAATCATGGGTTTGATAGGTGCAATTGTGCAGTTAAGATACATAACGATTATAGTAAATCATAGAGAGCATGAGGGATAGAAGAGAGAGTCAAATAAATAAGTCAGACACATTTCATGGTAGCATGCTCACCTCCTGGATGGCCATGATCTTACCAACCAGGTGCGCGCACAGTGTGGGCCGTGAGGAGGAGAGCGTTGGGCGGAGCCAGCCGGCCAGCCCACTTTATTGCTAACCAAGGATTATATCTACTTAGGGGGGCATGATTACAGGTAACCACACATGTCACAGGAAGGGGCTATACAATAGGCATACACATCATAGGAGGGGAATATACAATGGGCATAGGCTAACAGGAAGGGGATGAGCTGGGGGTGCACACGATAGGAAAGGGAGGAACTAGAGGTATACATGTGACAAGGTAGGCGGACCCTAGATTCATGATGGCAGCCTAACCTTGGTCACCCTTGGGTAGGCTTGACATCTCTGGGGTCTCCTACAAGAAAACAGACAACTACTATCCTTATCAGAAGGGAGTGGGTCCTCCTTGTTGTGGGACAAACAGTGGTGACTGCTTGCTCTAGATCGCTGAGACCCCTTAGGGAGAATAATCCCTGACCTACTTCTGTTGACCTCCAAGTGTACAATCATTCGCCACATGTAGCAAGCAGCTAAGTTTGGGATATGTTTGGGGGAGACAACCTGGGAGAAATCTTTCTGTTTCCCACACATCTATACACATATACATGCTTCGCTGTTTATGATTCTCTAGAAAACCTCACTTAAAATATTGATGCTTCTGTAACGAGTCATTTTTCTTAATTAAGTGACTCTAATCTTAATAAATAAAGAAAACACTGCAAGGGATAAGAGAAGAGGGAAACTTGTGGTGCCAGTGTTAGGAGGAATTTCTTGTTGCAGGTAGGCTTGTAGTGCTTGGGCTACGTGGTGCCTAATGAAAACCCCAATTTGAGATGACAGGACTGCAGGCTGGAGCACTCACTTACATTTTCATGGGCAGGGCTTTATAGCAGAACTGCATCGTACAATTCTGAGAATTAGGACCACCATTGATTTTAGATGTCAGCACAGCCGCCTTTCAATCTGAGCTATGTATGAGGACGGAAACTAGTGTTCATTAAGGACCCACTGAAGGCTCAAACTCACTGCCATCGAGTCACCCCCAACTCAAGCTGACCCTGCAGCACAGGGGAGAGCTGCCCCTGTGGGTTCCCAAGACTGTAACTCTTCACAGGAATGCAAAGCCCTGTCTTTCTCCCTCGGAGCGGCTGGAGGTTTTGAGGTGGCTAAGGGCCAGTTTTCAGAGCAGGAAAGGGAAAGGTGGTGGCTGTGGGGTGACCATCCTCCTTGAGGTGGGGGACGGTGGAGAACGGGCCTGCTTCTCTTCTTTGGAGCTAGCGCCCTGGCAGGAAGCGCCTCTTCAGTGCGGGCGGCCTGGGGTGTGCGCCGCAGTCAAGCTCTCCCTCTGTCACTTTAGGGTTTGTCGAGAAAGAAATACGGAAAGCTAACATTCCAATTATGGACACTGGTGAAAACCCAGAAGTGCCCTTCCCCCGGGATATGATTGACCTCGAGGTAAGCAAAAAGAAAGATTTTTTTTTTATAACTATATACAGAAATCACTTTCCTAAAGGAATGAAGAGTAGAATAGTTCTTGCTATCCTTATCAGCCTTATTTATTGGTTATAACTTCCTGATGGGTGGGGATTAAGTAAATCCCATTATTTATCGTATCGAACAGTATTTCCAACAGTGTCATTGGCCACGAAGTAAATTCCTTGGTAAGTTGAAACCTTACTGGATTAAAGTCAACCTAATATTGTACTAATCTCCTAGACACTAAGTAAACAGCCGAAAGGCTTTTTCATAATTACTTTGTACATCCAAAATCCCCTGAGAGAAATGTACTGTATGTACTAGAATCAAGAGATAAAGACTATTTTAAGCAAGAAACTTCTCAACAGAAATGTTCCTGCAAGATATGACAAAATAGCAAGGGCTCATGAGGGAGGGGGGAGCGGGGAGGGAGGGGAAAAATGAGGACCTAATACTGGGTGTTTAAGTGGAGAGAAAAGGTTTTGAGAATGATGAGGGCAATGAATGTACAAATGCGCTTTACACAATTGATGTATGTATGGATTGTGATAAGAGTTGTATGAGCCCCTAATAAAACGATTAAAAAAAAAAAAAAGAAAGAAATGTTCCTGCTGAAATCATAGTGTCTGGTGTGTTGATACCTTTGAACTGGCAAGGTGGTTATAGTTCTGAACAGGAATGCAGAGCAAGTAAAGTGGACTTGGTTTGAATTCATATTGATCCACCACCACCCCCTTTTTTTTCCCTCTAGGCCAATTTTGAGAAGATTGAAAATGAGCTGAAGGAAATTAACACAAACCAGGAAGCTCTGAAGAGAAACTTCCTGGAACTGACTGAATTAAAATTTATACTTCGCAAAACTCAGCAGTTTTTCGATGAGGTCGGTCAGTCTGCTGTTTCTTGAGTATTTCGAGCAGCTGGTGTGCCACCCGCCCAAGTGGCCACGTTTTTATCCCAGTAATTATTTTAATTTGCTAGTTTGGAAGCAATGCCATTTTTGCACCCTGTTTTAGTTGAAGAAATGTCAGATTATGTTCCATTTCTCATGCAGTGCACAGCCAACCATGGTTTTTGTATATTTTTTACATTTTCTGCAATTTTTCATCTCCAGATGGGGAAAGGTACCCTAAAATAGTTGTCTAGTCATAGTTAATGGAGGCTTTCACATGTGTATTTTACGGTAAGTACTTGCGTAAGGTTAAAGGTGAAGAAACAAGTTTTGTCTGGTTATTTGAAAGACAGCAAAGTTTTAAATCACCAAACTTTTTGGCAACAAATTTTAAGTTCTTTATGCTGCATGCCAGCCATTCTGCATATTTTAAAGCTTATTTTTAGGAGATTTTCTCTGTGTTGTCTGTAAACAGTGTTAGGATGCTTTGTGAAACTGCTGGACGCTCACATAAACTCAGCCTCATGGGGGAAATGGTTATTTTTGGTTTGAAAGTATAGAGGACTAAATTTTCTGTTAACTCCATAGAAAAGTGTTGGGAGCAAGGATCTCAGAAGGCTGCGTCTCCTAATTAAACCTGGGAAAGCATCTTAACTGCCAGCTGTAAGGGTTTCAAACAGTTCTTAGAAAAATTCCATTATCTTTCAATTCCCCTTTTCCATGAACTTTTTGAAGCATCTTCGTATGTTGTTTCTTGATAACCTCTTTATTAGTAACATGAGGCATTTCAGAGGTGGTTCCAGCCACTGTTTAGTGTGCCTTCTGATTAAAGTTCTGTATTTCCATTGATAGTCAGAATATTTGGCACAACTTTTAAATACAGAGAATCTGTTTTAGTTAGCCTAGCCTTAGCCGCCACCCTCTCCTCCTTTTGTTAAGAAACTCTTAAGATTTAAAAATGGCTGCCATCAAGTCGGTGATGCCAACACATAGCGACCCTGTAAGACAGGTTAGAATGGTCCCTGTGGGTGTCTGAGACCACCTCTTTACAGGAGTGGAAAGTGCACTCTTTCTCCCGCTGAGTGGCTGGCAGTTTTGAACTGCTGACCTTGCAGCAGCCCAAGAGGAGAAGCAAATTCTCAGTAGCTCTCTAGGCTGGAAAAGGGGTTCATCAGTCTTATCTGGAAGCTTGTTAGAAATGCAAATTTTTAGGGCCAACACCATCCTTAGCTCTCCCCCCCTCCCCTGCCCCCTAAATCAGAAACTGAGGGTGGGGCTTCGAAATCTGTGTTTTGAGAAGGCCCGGCTGAGGCCCAATCCCATTTGAGACCACCAGGAAAGAGCAGGTTCATGGAAAAGGGGACACATTCAAACCGGGCCAATTAAAAAGCTCTGCTGGGGCGAGGGGGGGGGGGATGCAAATGAATTTAATTGCCTGATCCTTCCAAGAATCAGTCTGGCTGTCTGTTGATTGAGGGCTGGTGTGAATCGTCAACTGACACCCAGAGTTGAGGGTTTTGAGCTTGATGGAAACTGCTTTCAACTCTCTTCAACACGTTTGCATTGGAGGGTGTGAGGGCAGTGTGATTACCTCCTTCCAAGTGTTTTAGGCCTTTTGCAACAGTCAAAGCCCCTTTGGCCGTATGGTGCGCGTGAACAAATCGTCTGGGATTGCAGTTTCCCTAAGCCAGTGTGCTGACTGCATTAAGCCAACAAGCACCGAAGGAGCCCTTGTCCTCAGTGCCACACAAGATGAGTAAGGTGTGGTCCCTGCATTCTTGGAATGTGCCACTCAGTCATATCAGGAAATACCTCAGAAAACAGTGCCTCCCAATACTCAAAGATGTGTGCCTTTCTTAATGTGCCCAAGCTGCTGCCCACGGGTGACAAGGAAACCTGGTCTCCTGGCCGAAGCCCAGCAGCATTGAACCTCACTGGGGGCTGGATTTTGTTACACCCTGTGTTAGTCTGGGTAGACTAGAGAAACGAAATTCGTAAACACTCATATTTTATGAGAGTTTTAGATAAAGGGTCATTGTACATTAAACATCCCAACCCAGTCCAGTCCAAGCCCATAAGTCCGACATTAGCCCATATGTCCGACATCGATCTACAAAGTCCTCCTCAACCTCACAAAACATATGCAAAGAAAGCCGACTGCAGGAGGAAAGCCGAGTCAGTGAATGTGTGAGCATCTCAGCACTGGCAGGGGTCTCCACACGGCTGCTCCAGCACCCAGGGCTGCATCGGGGTAGGTCCATGTGCTTCTCAGGGATGTCTCGCAGGAAGTGAGCCTCGCCACCTGAGGCAGAGAGCCAGCTAAAGCAACTGTAACTAGTCCAACCGTCAGAGCAAGAGACCAGACAGGTGAGGCTCACCGAGCCATTTATCTCTCCACCTTCAATTAATCCCACATGTGTTTATTGGCCAGGTTGGCACTATAAACCTACCTATCACACACCCCTTTCCCTCCCCACTTGATTTAACCTTTAGCTCACTACTGAGATGTAGGAAAATAGCTTCCACAACCTCCTGAGTTTGAGGATTGGCGGGAGCTTCCTAAATTCATTAATTTTGGGAGAAATTCTAAAGAAAGAATGGTAAGTAGATTCCCTAGATAGGGCAAATGCTTCTTTAAACTCTTAATTTTACAAAAAGATAGCCAAAATAAAAGGAGCTACTTGGAATGATGGCATGTTTTGTTTGGGGTATTTTTTTGTTAAATCATTCAGTTATGGATTTAGTTAGGCACTTTGTTTTGTGATTAATAAGTCTCAACATGAACTGCCCGTCAGGAGAAGGCAGAGTCTTGATCTTCAGGACCTGCATGTTCCCTCTGTAATGAGAGGTCTCCCCTCCTCTTTATACAAACCAGTCAGGAGGCCCCTGAAGAGAGGCTGTCCTTGGCTTTCACGCCCCGCCCCACATCGCTTCTCAGCCCCTCACACAAGTGCAGGAGGTGCTGTGGCATGAAGCACTCTCAGGGCCTGTGTCTAGTCTGCTCTTAGCAACGGACCTGGTCCTGATGCGGCTGCACTGCAGGCCCAAGTGTCGCTGCTGAGAACAAAGACAAGGACTCTCGGGGTGAGCGCGACTGTGCCCCATGCATGCCCACGCCCAGTAATTCAAACTAGAGTCACTCCCAAATCGCCCAGTTAGGGCTGCCTGAAGATGTGTTTTCCATCCATGCCTGAAATTGGACTGTGTGCAAATGGCCTGATACACTACCAATGGTAAGCCCTTCTTTTATTTTCTTCAATACAACTAAAATGTGGTGAACATAATGATTCATAATAATGAAATAGCAAAAAGTGGCCAAATGAGGGCAGATCTTTAGGCATTGGGGTTGTGAATGGCAGGGTGTGTTGAAGGGGCAGAGGGAAACATTGCAGTCTTATGATTCAAGATGATTACAAATTGGACTTAGCATTTTCTTGCCCAGAGCATTAAAAATGACTTGTTAATGATTATCCTTTTCTCAGTCTTCTTGCTTATGAAGAACTAAGAGCTGGAGAGGTTTCTCGGCATCTTTTACCATAAGCACCATAGCATAGGGGACTGTACAGAAGACTGGAAAAGTAATGGTTAATGGCATGCAGACCCCGCTCTCCTTCCCTTCTGAGTTTTCCATCCATCTGCTTTCTTTTTTCTTTCCCATTTGTGATCTGCTCTGGGGCTTGGTGATGGGGCATGGTGGATGGCTTAGGTGCAAAGATGAGATTTCTGCCTCGGGGTGGCTGAAGCTTGCTCTTGATGGCTGACCGTCGCCTCACTGGGCACGCTGCCCTGCCCTTGAGCGTGGTGGGGATGGAGCTGCTGCAGAGCCTGCTGCTCCCTGTGGTGACTGGGGAAAGAGGTCAGCCAAAGCGCAGAGCAGGTAACACTGGCCAGAGTCACAATGTGTCGCCATTGGAGAGCCCAGATTGTCAAGATTAGATGTAAATGCAATCAGTCCCCAGGTTAAGAACGCCTGACTTACGGACAACTGCTTAAGACGGACCGCCATGTCAGGCCTATGGTGTTAACATTTTGAGGCACCTGTAATGGTTTGTCATAAGAATGCATGAGCTACGTTGTGACGCTCCTGAAAAGCTTGCAGGGCCTCGGCCGTTCAGTGGCTCCGAGGAGAGCACCTTCCACCTTTTCTTAATTGGATCACGTTGCCCTGAACGTCCTGTCGAGCATGCGGCGTTCCTGTGATTTACTCCTGTAGCCAGTGCCTCCACAGCTGGAGCGTAATGCAAGTGCCGGCGATGCTTCGAAGGAAAGAGAAACGATCGCAGCTGACGAAGTGGGAATAACAAAGTGATCGGGAAGAAGCCCCCTCCACAGTCACTGGACAAGCATTAGACAACAGGCAGGCAGTGGCTAGGGCAATTTAAAAGGATAAGGTGAGACGAACGAGCCTATCTTAGGCTCTGCCCCTTGAAAGGTACACTTATGATACCAAGCA